CCCACCCCGTGATAGTTCCCTTTTCACAGTGTTGAGGGAAAGATTTGGGTATTTTACCTTTTGTTTAATTTTTTTAATTTTATTTAATTTTTATTTTATTTTATTTTTATCTTTTATTTAATTGACTGGGCCTGGAAATTGAAGGTCTGAGTGACATTGAAGTAGGCCATTTCCTTAGTGAGGAACAGATTGGTAAGTCATCTACATATTGAAGTGATAAGCCTCCCTTCAAGGATAAGGTATTGCAGGTCCCTAGTTAAGACTGTCTGAACAAATGCGGGCTATTCCAGAACTTTTGGGGAAGGACTGTGCAGGTAAGTTGTTGAGGTCTCCCACTCAATAGCAAAGATTAGCTGGGAGTCTGAGTCCTGGATAATGCAGAAAAATGCATCTTTGAGTTCTAGGACTGAACAGCAATTGGCCTCTGTGGGGATTTTACTTAAGAGGTTGTAGGGATTGGGCACCATAGGAGGGATGAGGATTAGCCCTTCACTGATGAGTCTCAAATCCTGAACAAGGCAATAGTGTCCATTGGCTTTTTTATTTGTTTGTTTATTTATTTATTTTGGTGATTCTGGGGTTTGAATTCATGGTCTTGCACTTGCTAGGCTGGTGCTCTACTACTTGAGCCATGACCCCAGTGGTTTTTGCTTTCTCAGTTATTTTTTCTAGAATAGGGTCACCCATTTTTACCAAGGACAGCTTGGACTGAGTTCCTCCTATTTATGCTTCCTGCCATAGCTGAGATAACAGGTGTGTGTCAGCAAACCAAGCTGCTGGTTGAGAAGGGGTCTTATTGTGATTTTTTGCCCATGCTGATTTTTAACTATGATTCTCAAGACCTCCACCTTCTGAATAGCTACCAATATATCCAGCTCCCATTAGCCTTTTCTAACAGAAGAATTGAAGTATTATTCAGGGAGTTTCTGAGCACAAGTAGCTGACATTGGAGGAATTCTGATGTAATAGGTTCAATACTTTGTCTTGCTTCAGGCTTTATAGGGTATGAGTTCTAATTGGGATAGTAATTGGGATTTTCAGCTGAATCTTTATAGAAAGTGCAGTGACCCCTCTTCCAGATATCCCTTCTGCCCAAACAGTAGGATCAAGCTTCAGGAAGTCAGGCAGTACAGATGGGAGGGACTCTGTGATTTCCACTAGTTCCACAAGAAATGATGGTGTTTAGTGGGGTTTTGTGAAATTAGACTTGCTTTCATTTTTGTGAGTAGGACTCTGCCAATGAGGGGTTTTGCACTTTGAGTAATGACCGGGAAAAGGTGAGCAAAGACCCTTCAATTGCAACTACAGCAGAAAGGGAGGGTGTATTTTACTTCCATTGCTTTTCCTCCTTTTCCCATAACTGAGCAAAATGAAATGAGGTCTTACCAAAGAATGCAGTGGGACAGAATAGAAGGCTCATGTATCCAAAAGAATATCTATTGTTCCACTTGCCACATGCACAGTCACTCAGGGCTCCGTTCCAGCAATAACAATGTTCTGGTTGGGAGCCATCTGGAACCCACAGCCTCCTCAGTCTGTAGCCATGGCCACGGCCATGGCACGAGTTAGACCTCCATTCAATTCATCAGAGGGACAGTCATTTTCCCAGTGTCTTGTCTGAGGACAACGAGGGCAGACCATCATGAGGGGTTGGGAAAAGGGATATTTGCTTTTCCAGTGCCCCACCTTCCTGCAGCTGTGCTGTGGCAGGACACTATCACAAATTTCACAAATTGACTAGTAGTTTAAACCTGGAATCAGGCAGCTCTGCCAAGTAGGGCTGTCAGTAGTTGTGTCTATTTCTTATCCTTACAAATTTTTGAAAATTACTCGAAAGAATGAAAGAAAGATGAAAAACTGGCAGCACAGGAGAAGAGGAGAAGACTGAACTCTGAGAGGGGTAGCTCACACTGGGTGGGAGCTACACAGATAAAGCCTTTTCCCCCAGACAATAAGTCTCAGTGTCCACCATGAATGGTCACTTGAACCCAAGCCAAAAAGTACAGAAAACTTGTGACCTGGAGGTATAACATGACAAAGTTCAAGGGAGTAGGAGGGTCTAGAAATGGAGCAAGGAAATCCTACAAGGAGAAAGCCACAGAAAGAGCCTCAAAATCTGAGGAGAAACCACTCTCAAATTCTTGACTAACCCCAGAACTACAGATGTACATGGGAGACTCCATAGAGCCCAGCAGAAAACAGCAGCTAGGAAGAGATCTAACCCAGCAGGGATTTTATCTGTAAAACACTGCAGAGAACCCATTTGCAGTCTGATGCTAATAAAGCAGAGAGATTGGGAAAAGGCCCAGGCTTCTCAATACCCTCCTGAAGTACATAGAGCAAAATCTTCACAAGTTCAAATGCAGAGATTTAAACTACATGCAGGAATTGGAAGACACACTGTTGTGCTCAGTTCGCTCCAAATTTACTCCCAGATTAAGACAATAAATTCCATCAGGCTTGTTGCAGATGTATCAAAAGATAAACATTTATGTATCATATGGCTTAGCTATTCCACTTTTGTGTATTTGCCAAAGAAAAATAAAAAAATTTTTATAGAAAATACTATAAATGAGTATCCCCACCAACCCTATTCACAATAGCCCCAAATTTGAAGCAACTTGAATGTTCATAAAATGATGAATAGATAAAAAGGTCATGATGCATCCATAAAATGGAGTATTATTCAATAATGAAAACAAAGGAGTGATAAATGCAACAACACAGATAAGTCCTCAAAGAATCAAGGCACAAAATAGCACATTTCATATAATTCCATTATTATGTTACTGTAGAAAAACAAATTTAATATACATTGCTAAAATCTAGATCTGTCACTGCCTGGCAGGGGAAAGGAGAGGAACACTTGACAGGGAAATGGTAGGGGGATACTGATAATTCTCTATGGGTTGAGTATGGCAGCTACACAAATGTGGGCTTTTGTGAACATTCATAAAACTCTGTACGTTCAATGCATGTATTCATATTACAAGTAAATTACACCTCAATGAAGTTTATGTAATCAAAGAAATTTGCCAGCAAAGATGGAAATAACTGTACCAGGCAGCAATAGTGGATTCCACTATGAATAGTGACAAGAGATAAAACTAGTTATTGCAATACCTATGCTTCAGTCCACAATTTGAAATCACAGATATTTGAATGGCACACTTACTAAGGAAGCTTAAAGTGAGGCCTGATGAGATTGTGCGCTTGGATGAAAGAATCTGTTCTAGAATGCCCAGGAAGGAATAGAAACTTAAGGAGAGATACACAATGCATTAAGAAAGTATGCATGAAACCAGAGTTGTAGACCCCAGGCCAAATTCCAGGAGTTCCACATGTCAGGTCTGACTATTGGCACCCAATACTGCCAGTAAGGAAAGGGTAATGGTGAAAGGCAAGAACAGGAGAAACCTTGGTTGTACCACAGGAAGAGGCAAAGATGCACCTGAGGACATCTTTGGGGTTCAGATATGAGATTTAAGTTTAAATAAAGACTTTGAGGCAGAGGATGAAAGGTATCCACAATTATTAAACAGTCTGTGTCAAAGAATTGTCTGATTGTCATTATCTCAGTCCTGGTTTAGGCAGAGGTTTTGGAATAACTTATCCAGCCATCACTTGAGTGGAGCAATCTGGTGAGGATAAACAAGTAATTGTTGCCTGGCAGGTGGTCTGTCTTGCAGAGGTTCTGTTGTTCCTTTCCTCAGAGTCAATTTCCCTTATTCCTTCTTGTAAAAATGTTATCAGTGTTGCCCTTTCTGGATTCCAAGGTGGCTGCAAGGTGAATGGTTCAGAGCAAAGACAAATACAAAGTGGAAAGAAATGCCATGCTTTGTTCTTACTTATAATTAATTTGTGGGCCCACATGGGAAGTCAGTGCTTTTAAGAATATGCGGTTTCTAAGAACCTGGACACTCATAGTAGAGTAGGAGAGCCCAGAGGAATGACTTATTAACTAAAACTATTAAGGAAAGGACAATGGGTACTCAAGCTGAAATTCCAACAATGAATAGGAATTTTCCAGACTTACCAGTGTGTGGGAGGAATGGAGGGTGTCTGTGCACTGCAAGAAGAGGTTATGAAAATTTCTGCCAAGCAGGAGTATGCAGACAACACTGAGAAGCAGTGAAGAATAGGTTTCCATAGGCCACCAAGAGTATCCGACTATTACCATACTCTAACCTGCATGACTGGTCATTGCATTCACTTTGTCCATATACTCCATGGAACTAGACACATATTAGGTAAATACTCAATATTTTTAAGCAAGAAGTAAAAACACAGACTACACTTTTTAAAATCTATGAGGAGATTGAGACTCTCAGTTTCAAAAAAGGGCAATTATAATCATGTTGGATTTTCTTTCAGTATTGGGGAAACTTATCATTATATATTACATTCTAGGCAAAAAAAAAAAATAAATCAGACCCGACATTGTCACTCACACATTATGAAATTCACTTAAAGATAGAAACCTGGGGTAGTTTCTGGATGGGTAGTAGAGTTGGACTGAAAACCAAGATTGTTTCTTAAATTATTCATTTAACATAATTCAAGAATTCTTTAAGGACGTCTTCTAGGGCATGTTTTGTAATATAAGAATAATATTTTCATCTCATCAGATTTCCCTACTCTTCCAACAAAGAACATGGTGAGGAATTAATGTTTCTGCTTCACACTGAAATTGTGCAAAGGTCAACTCTGATAACTGTTGTGACTGACAAACTGCAAAATAAACGAAGAGAACACAGGAGGTGTTTCTGACTCCCATGTCAGGGTCAAGAGGTGGAAGCAACAGTACTAAAAATTGGATAAGGAGTAGCAAGTCCACAGGCAGACGATGGCATATGGTACATTTGTAAAGAAGAGTGAAGAAGGAAGCAGTTCACCAGCAGGAACAAAGTCTCAGAGGCAAATTACAGGGGAAAAAAATCAATGTATATAGAGGGACTCCCTTCTCATCTGATTCCTCCTCTTATGTCATCTTTCCCATCATGTCCTCAGATACCATGCTTCAAAAAGTACTGCCGATGTTGACATCTTTTTTAGTTGTTGCCTGGATAATTTTTATAATTTCTCAAAATTCCACAAAGATAGGAACATTTCTCTCTACTTTAATTTGAAGCCTGTACTCATGGGATCTTTATTGCCAGAACTGGTTAGCACTCCTGCCCCTTTTCTCCCATTTCAAGTCTGTTTTCTCCTTCTGTACTACACTTCATTTCATAGGGCCTGTGGACACTGACTATCTCTACTTCTACTTCCTTTCCCATTCGTCCTGAATGCATTCTAATCCAACTCCTATGTCCCAAACAACCCAAAGTGCTCCCTGATAAGGCCTCCAACTTCAAAGTCACTAAAGACGTGTTACTAAAACCAGGTGAATATACTCCTCAACCACCTAGGTCCAGTTTCCCTTGTCTGCTACTTTTGCCTATGAGTTCGTTTTCTGTGCCAAAGTTATTTTTCAGTAACCCAGTTTCCCTTATGTCTATTGGGTATTAATAATTATAAAAGTTATTTCCACTCTAAGACTATGTAGGAATTCACTCATATTTACTTATATCTATACTGAAATAGTTACATTGTTTATATGCAAATATCTTCCACAATGGAGGTTGTTCTGTAAATGGCATAGGGTATTTATCAATTTAACTTTTCCCAATTCCTTTCCAATTATTTTAAACCACTTAATACAAATTCAGTCTTCTCCCCCACTGATATTTTCTTTTTCCTGTTTACTTTGTGCAATACAGATATTTAACTAAAACTATTGAGAAATCTTCATGACCTAAAACAGCAGTGACACTGGTTAAGTCACCAACAGGAACTGAGCTGAGTGTCATGGAAATCCTTCAGAACTATACAAGCAGTTCCCACTTAGACCATTCACCTACATGAACACCACCAGCAGCTCCAAACAAACACAGAGAGCCACCTTCAACCCTCGAGACATGTACTGCAGTGGGGACCAGCTGCATGTCTTGCTGGAGGCACGGGACTACCTTGAACACAGGAGGGAATCTTGGGGGACTTTCTGAGGGCCAGGATGTCCTCCCCAGCCCGGAATGCAGGAGCTTCAGGAAAGGTAACAGACTTCAACAACAGCATCAACTTGTCAGCTTCACTCTGTTCTGGGAGGGCCAGGTCTCACTGTCTGTCCTACTCATCCACCCCAGTGAAGGGGTGTCTGCTTTCTGGAGGGCAAGGAACCAAGGCTATGACAGGGTGATCTTCACAGGCCAGTTTTCCAGTGGTGCCTCCCAGGTCTACAGTGATTGTGGCCTGGCTTTAAATTCAACTGCTGACCTGGGCCAGTATCTTGATGGTCAAGATCAAGAAGCTTTCTACTGCGTGAGACCTCCACATGTTCCCTGTGCTGCGCTCACCCACATGCAGTCCAAGAACAAGAAAGTTTCTCATCTTAGCATGGATTCTACACTGGACAATATAGTGCTATAGCCTGTGTGTCATTCTAAAGGAAAGCTCCGTGGTTATAACAAATTTGGGATGCTTTAAGAAGAGTCATTTGAGAACAGATCTGTGAATTTTGGGAGCCATTGCTTACTTGACAATAGTTCCCAAACTGTTTGGATATTTCTTCATAATCAATGAACTAAAAAAAAAAGGCAGAATAAAGACTAAAAGAGATTGAGAAATATACATATGTCCTCTAAAATGTTCTTCCTGCATCTCAATAAATTGACTTGCACACCTCCTGTGTACCTGTGACCTATGCCAGTAAGAGACAAAGAAAAATGGAAATTTACTAGATGGTATGAATCTGGAGATACCGAAATCAGTTTATCTCTAAGAAATAACAGAAGTACTCTATAATCTAGCTTCTTGAGTCTTTTTTGATTTGTAACCACCCACAGATTAAGGTCAAATGTGGGCTTTGAGAATATGGTAAAATTCAAAGTGTTTAGTGCTTCCAAACGCAACAGTACATACTTTTTTTTTTCTGTTTAATTTTTTGTATTTTTTCCTTATGTCAATTAATAACATAATAATCCCTTATATCAATTAAGAACATAAAATCAATTAAGAACGTAAAATTTTCCCAAGTATTGATTTATAAGTGACGTTTATAAGTCCCACAAAAAGTTCAGTTTCAGAAAGAGTAATATTCATTGATCTCTTTAAATGCAATGTTGATCCTTATTTTAAACTAAGTACAACAATAATTTAATGCATAAGCTAAATGCAAAAATCCTGCTTACATCCACATCTGGTTTTCATCAAGTACACACTTCCACAATGAACTGGTACTTACAAGTATGTTAATAAACACCACCCTAGCTACTCACCCTGCCATCAGCTTTTTAAGCACTGCCATTTCTGCTACTGAAAGCATTCATTTTTAGATGCTCTAATCTGATGTGGGAAAATGAGATCTTCTAAAACTTAACTAATAGTAAATGAAGTCTTTCAACACAGAAGCACTAATATGAAACTTAGTTTTTCAGACAAACAAAAAACCCTCTTGTTACCTTTAGAAGATAATATTAAAACAAATTAAGACAGATAAACATTCTTGAAAACTTGTAGTTTCCTATGCCATCTCCTTAAATAAACACAAACCAGTTCACTACCTTCACGAATCTTTCAGTCCACTATTGTCTAAAAACCTTAGAATGCATGAAATGCAAATCTTAGCTGTTAGTCAAAAGGACATTTAGAGCTCACATATTAAAAGCTACAGCATTGCTTATAATGGCACAAATCTATCTACACGTAAATACTACTTTATCCTTTAGCTAGGTGAGAAGTCAGAAGGAACTACATGGTTTGCAACACTTTAACTTGAATGTAGTCATTAAAAGCCAAAAAGTGAGTTAAGTATGGTTGTATAAAGGCAGACAGTTAACGGCTCAAATATTACTCTAAAATTGAAGACATGAAAATAAAGCTGAAAACCTAGTGTTTCTCCATCTTTCATTTACATGCCTAGATAGCGGGACATCACCATAGAAAACACATTTATCATATATGGTTTCCACAGAAGAAGTAAATGTTCAGAAAGTACAAAGGGTGTCCAGATCCATAATTTGCTTCGTCAAATGCTTTTCTAGTTCGTTTCAATTCTTCATTCATGGTAAGTAAGTCTTAAACCTTAGCAAACTTCCGTGGGTCTTTTCAAATCAAGAAGACAGTATCTTCCACTTGCACTCGACCTTGTCTTCCGAATGACATTGCCTTGTGAGTCATTTCCATGACGAATTCTATGACAAGGTCTTCAAGAACATTCACTGCCTCAGAGTAAGGATTCTGGTCACCCCAAATCCATACATTCTTTGGAAAAAAGTCTCTTTCTTTTACCGTGTCCACCTTCTGCACCTCCTCCAATTTCTTCATTTTCCTCCTCAAAGGTGGGGTCTTCATCCTCATCAGCCATCTCAGCAGCCTGCCACCCACAGAGCCAAGTTGGCTCTCTTCCCATACTTGTGTTGGTTTGGTGATTTTACAACTAAATCCACTTAAAGGGCTTTGTTTTTCTGCTGGACTTGTTCACTGCCTCAGTCCCATCGGCTTTTTGCTCATCTATTTAACCAAGGCTGGCCATGGTACCAGGTCCCTCTTTGAGTGAATGGTTGGAGTAATTAGGGTATTTTATAACTGCTCTAATCTCTTCACCAATCTACTCCTCAGGTAATAGATTACCTGCCATCTTACACAATGATCTTTGAGCATTAAAACTCCCTCCCATCTTATTTAGTTTTTCACCTAACAACGACCACCCTTTCCACTCCACCTCCCATATCACTGGTAGCCCAAGAATCACCATGCAGAAGTTTCCATTCTGTCTTCTAACAGTCAATTCATTACCATTCTCACCTCTTGGTCTTTATCACGTTTCCAACCATTTTACAAGGTAGAATTCCTACGTTTACAATGACTAATTTCTTTAACTCTAAATGGCTTTAAAAACCCATCTGAAATGCTTTTATATCTAACTTAAGTATTAATAGCTTAACAATTGTTAAAACACTTGTCCACACTGATGTAAAAATATGTACCTGATTGTAGAAATGGTATTTTCACCTCTGATATGTGGGTACACACATCTACCGTTTGTTAAAATTAAAAAACTACTCACTTGGATTATGAAAAATAATTGTCTTAAACCTGGCACTGAAATCCTGTTCTCTCAGACCCTTCATAAACCAGTGACAAGGGTGACTAACTGGGCCTTTTTGGACCTCCAGCATTCCCTGAAGTCTGCAACCATACCCATTCCGATTGGTTACTTTCCAAGCCAAGCTAATTGGTAATACTTGTTAATGCTCTGCTTCTAATTTGGAGAAAGTATAGTTTGATGGGGCATTGAAGACACTGGGAGAGTGTATGACAAACTTAGGGGCAAACGGATAAAATGAGAGGATGAATGAGCTTTCACACTATGCAAGAATTGACAACATTGCATTCATAGCAAGGTTGATAAATACATTGTAACAGAAAGTCACTTTTTCTTGAAGAAAACTTCTGATCCTATAATGAACATATAAGAGTATCATTTAGAAAAATCACATCAGGGAAAAATTTTACTGAACAATAGATGTTTCATTGTAAGGATACATTAATAAGCCTTTTCTACTACCCACCACTGCTAGTTAAGAGAACACTTCAGAAAGGACAGAAGGCTCTTAATGAATACTGATGGATAATTTGGTGTCTTAGAATATCCTATCTTGCTATTCTTTGACAAATAAATAGTTCCAATGAAAAGAGAAATGCAAGCCTGGAATCCCATCCACAATCCCCAGTGCCCATGCGTGGAAAAAACACATGGAATTCCATCTTCCGCAGTTTGGCTTCAGTGGAAATGAAAGCCTGCCTCGCAGGAAAACTTACATATATCTGCTGGGAGATTCCACAAACCACCAGTGGATGGAATACTTCACAGCCAGTATCAAAAGTATGTCTGAGTAGAAGCCATTATTCACATCTCTCATTTCAGGGGGAGAAAGGACTGTGGGAAATGCCACTTCTTTACCATATTTCTTAATCACAACACACCAAAAGTTTTCTCAAGACACTATTAACTTCTCTTTAAAAAATACATTTATCTACTAGAAGGGAAAGAGTATAGAAAAATGTACATTACTTTCTATTCTTACATCAATATTTATGAAGCAGGGTTAGAAAATTATTGATGGAGAGCAGGATGAGGAAGAATGACTGGTGAGGATGAACCTAACCAAGATAAGCATATATGGAAATGTTACAATGAAACTCCCTGTGCAGTAAGATACACTAATAAAAATGTGTTTAAAAAATATTGATAGAGACAAAGAAGATCTAAGAGATTAAACAGTCCCCCTTCAATAGTTACACAATGATTGTGGGTATGCATTCTAGATGCAGATGTCCTGGGTTCAAAACCTGACTTTATATTGTGGTAGTGTGACCTTGGAAAAATTCCATAACCATTTTCTCCCTCATTTGCCTTATGTGTCAACTGGGATAATCAAGAATATCCACCTGGTAAAATGAAGTAATATCTATGAAACATTTCATATATTGTCTGTCACAAGAGAAGTAAGCTCTCTTTGGTGTAAGCTATCATCTCTCCATCGTTACCTGATTATATGGCAAATGCAAAAGCAAGGTAATAATTTTGCATCAGGTAGACACTCTAGTTAAAAGCTTGGGGTACAATTAACAGACCTAGACTGTGCCAAAGAGAAACTATTACCAAGGCATGTTATTTATTTTCTCTGCCTTATTTTCCTCATCTGTCAGTCAGGAATAATAATAGTACTGGTGAATGTTTTGAATATGAAATGAAGTAATGGATAGAGAGTACTTAACACATTGCAAGGCACACTGGCACATAGAAATTGCCCAAAATGTGATACAAACTGCAGCTATTATCATTGGCTAATGTCACAGCTGGGGCTAGTGTCAGAACACTAGTTTAGTTGCTCTATTTATTAAACCAAGTATCCACCAGAAATAACTCAGAATCCACTAATAGATCTTAGCAATCCCACCTAGAAAACCATCACTACCTGCCCCCTCTACGTCCCTGAGCCCTAGCTCTTATCACTGAGGAAAATGTAGACACTAAGGCATCATCCTGGCCTTCTTGATATAAGGCCACTTTGGTAATCTCCAATTTAGGAAGAAAGCTTATACTCAATTTTAAAAAGGGCAAACTGATAGGGTCTAAGTTCCAAGGAAGAACTTTCCAAGAAGAATTCCCAATAAGGGATACTTTTAAATTGTGACCTCTAATAAATGAACACCTTGTGACCTTATTTCCCTCAGCTACAAAACTAAGGGTCTGGTGATAACTTTTAGCACCACATTGTACAATGCGGACCTCTTAGGTCATCCAAACTACTGGGTTATAGAGTTACCTATCCTCTTCAATTCATGTTGTAAGTCCTACTATGAAGATATCTCTTGCACATTTCCTTAAAAGTTGAATTCTATGCCCCAAGTTTGCTTTGGAAAAGAAAACTAAAGTTATTTTGACACAAATGAAGAAAACAGTCATTTTCCTACTTCTATCACATCACTTTTGAAATTTCAAACACAGCCCTTTACTGCTATGATGATAATATGGCACAAAGCATTAATAATCATTGACCATATGTTTTCCTAAGAAATTCTAGCTATAATACAGGTGGCCTTCATATTCTGATAAGAGTTTAAGTAGCTTGATAAGAATAAATGACTTCATCCTATTTTGTTCATGCTATGCTTGTTTGTAGAAACATCAAGATCAGGTAGACAATTTTCACAAGAATTGGGGGAACTTTGAGTGCTAATTCTTTCACAAACATAGGCAGTTTCACTTCTTTTCTTGGTTTTCTACAACATGACAATTAGATACAATATCAGTGTCATTGAAAAGAGTGACAGTTTGGGTCCAAATAAATGTTGTGTAGACTGTAAATTACTTCACTAATGAGTACTGTTTTATAGATGATGTATTCAGTGCTATTCCATATATATGAAAGAAAGTATAGAACATAATTTCAGACTTAACTGAATTTACAGAGTAGATGGGGAAATTTGTTTATTGAGTTTTTCAATGTAAGTAACATCAGTTAGCAGAATCCTCAAGTTAGTTCAGGCCACAGACAGGAAGTCCACAAAAAATTACAAAACTCACCACATCATTGTCTAATGAAGTTTATCTCAATGTCTAACCATCCCCAGCACATTTCAATCTGCCTGGCTCCTCAAGTGGGCAAACATAATCTCTCATATTTGTGTAAACCTTTTAACTGTGTAAGTAAGTTTCAAAACTATGCCCTCAAACATGTAAGAAATCAGACATAATTGGCTTAACTCTAAACATAAAATCTCTTCTCTTATGATTGGCAAATCTTTGTAATTCTTTTCTCCTTTCATTTGTTATCAGCACTAAGTCAGTTAATCTGCATGAATCTGGAAAATTATAACACCAGCTTGTTATGGACTTGGACAGGCATATCAACATCCAGTGGCAAAACCTGGCTACCCCTTGATTGGATCATTGCGCTATTCCATCAAAGTGATGAACATGGCCAGAGTAATTGTCAGAACTGGAGGGGAGAAGAATACTGTCATTGTTATTTCTCTGGGCCAGCATTTCAGAATCTTTCCCATTGATGTTTTTATCCTAAGGGCCTCAGTGTCTACAAAGCTGTTCAACATCTTCTTCTGAGAAGCCCAGACACTATGGTTATCATCAAGACAGAAAATATCAGGGAGATGTTAATTGATGCAGAAAGATTCAGTGACTTTCATGGTTACATTCAATATCTCATCATTAAGGACATTTTCCAGGATCTCCAAGTGGGCATCATTGATGCCTGGGATATAACAATTGCATATGGCACAAATGATGTCCACCCACCTCAACATGTAGTTGGAAATCAAATTAATGTATTCTTAAACTATATTTGCTAGGTAACATATATCTCTGAAAATCATTCAAATAAAAAGATCTGATGAAGGTGAGAGAATATGGTTGACGGATTTTATATTCATATATGAAATAGACCAACAAAACCTCTTGCAATTGCTTTAAGTGGGTCAAGGAGGGGGTTGCTGGGGGGAGGATGATGGGAGCAACTAACCAATGTATAATGTAAGGCTATTCAGAATTGGCTCAATCCCCCCTGTATAATATAGATATGTACATATACATATATATGCTAATAAAAATGTCAAGCATAAAAAAATTTAAAAAGCAGTAATAAATCATGTTAATATGTAAAAAATATTTTAAAAATCTATTTACTATCTGCAAACATGACAGGTGCCTTATCTAACTCCTAGTTAGCCTGAGAAGATCATCTGCACTCTAGCTAATATTCATGGATTCAGTCAAACAAGGTTTATAAACTAGGTATCTCCTTAAAAATGAAGTTCCAAAGAGCTCCGGAAAGTTTCTACCCTTCTTGATCAGAGTCATGCTGCTCTTCAGCAATGGGAAGTTAAGACCACTTGAGTTAAAATTCTTCTTTCTGATGAAAGGCCAATTCAGAGCAATAAAAGTAATTGTAAAATAAATATTTGGAGAAAGCAGTCTTATTTACTTTTTCTATCACTAAAGACAGACTCAAGATGATCTTCAAAAGAAGAGACAAGTGGCATGAGGTGGTTTTCCCAGAGTCATGGAGGAGCAGATTTGTGTGCAAGGGCACAGAATGATGAAAAACTCCAACTCTCCATTCCATGTAGGGACTGCAGAGAGGCTCCAATCTCATTCCATAGCATTTGTCACCCAGAAATAGAGGTGAAGGCCCAGTGCACTATAATTCAAGGAGTTATGCTTTAGTTTTTTTCTCAGTAATTATAAGACACTAGAAAAGTCAGGTCAGCTTCCTGGGCCTCACTTTCCCTAATGAAGGGTTCACTATGATTTATGATCCTGAACCATCCTTGGTGTAGATTAGGGGCAATGGGTAATCCTTTGGAAACCTTCTTAAGGGACAGAATTCAGAAAAGGTACCTGATAGACAGGGTACGAGTTCACTATGACCCCTTTAGTCAGAGTTTAGCTACTCTTACATATATGTATACAGCACTTCTGGATGACCTTTTGTTATGAAAAACATTCCACACCTTAACACAAGTTTGAAAGCCATTATTCAGGTCAACATGAGTTTTTATAATCTACACATGTAGGTTACCATTTTAATCACTCTCATTTACATTCTAAAGGGCCTTCCCCAAACCTAACCAAAAAGGAATGATTAATATGATAATTTTAGTTAAAAAGGGCAATGTAGTTATCACAACATAATTTGGCAACATATTCCTGAATTTTGTAATCTTCCCTGTGCCTCACATAACATAGGGTCAAACCCTGCTCTTGATGCATCTGGGAGAAAACAATTACAATAAAACGTCTGAAATCCCTTTACTCAGGTTCCTTTGTCCAGGGAGTTACTATTTATTGTCAATGAATCACAATAAATTCACATTTCAGTGACTGATATATATACAAATGGTCTAAAATATTTATTAAATCCAAGGCACTGTTCTAGTCTTTGAGGATTCAGTGGTTAAAAACAACACATGGAAATCTGTCATCAAAATGTTACCTATTAATAAAGGAAAATATTATGGAATAATATATAAGAGTCTATGAAAAAAGGAAGCACATGACAAGAAAAGTGATAGAGTGTCATGTGCTGGAGATGGAGATGGCTAGTTAGTCAGAAAAACATTTTATAGAAGTACTTCAAGTGGAATCAGAATGATAGAAAGGAAGCAGCTATGAGAGAAATGGAGAAAGAGAGGTCCTAGAGAAAGAAGGTCAAGTGGAGAACCCATGAAGCCTGGTCCAATTTGGTTTGCAGAAAGAACAATAGGGGACCAGAAGACCTAGAATATTGTCAAAGCTATGGGAAAGGATGGAGGTATTGCTTAAACAGTAGACTGCCTGCCTAGCAAGCACAAAGCTCTGAGTTCAAATCCCAGTGCTACCAAAAAATATATATATATGATATGGGAAGGACGTGGAATCCTATTGCAATTATAATGTGGGAGGAAGAAGGCAGGAAAGGGAAAAAAAGAGAAAGAGGGAAATGAAAAATTAAAGAGTGAAGATGAAAAGGAGAAAAACTTCTAAAACTATAGAGGCAGAATAAAAGAATAATGAAAGGTGCCACGACCCCTTTCCCCACTCCACAGGGCAAACATGCTTTCTCCATTTACTGGAAGCCAACAGCAGAATTTTAGCTACCCTCCAGTTCTCTGCATGGTGTTCATGGGCAGTAGGTCTGCTTATTGGTAGCTGATTTGAGTCTCCAGGTTTTTAGAAGAAAGTTTGCCCACATCAGAGAGCCACCATGAATATTTTTACACTATGATCTCCAGTACCTTAGATAGCTGAAAATTAACGTTTCTACTCTCAAGAGTCCCTAGTAATATATGGGGAGAGAAAGAGAAATATCAAACAATTCCTGACAAGCATCAAGTTAGCACAGCCTGTGGAATTATAACACTCTCTAACTCGATTATTCTTTTCTTAAAAACTGTATTTTTAATTGATAAATAATTCCAAATGTGATCTTTGGACTCATATATATTGTGGAAATCAAATCAGACTAATCAGCATAACCATCTCCTCCAATATTTTAGCATTTTGGCGGGGTGAAACCATCTACAATTCTCCCTCATTGCTATTTCGAACTATCCATTATTATTAACTGTAACCATGGTGCTGTTCAAGAAACACTAGATCTGAAATGACCCAAGCCTTGTATGCACATATGAATAATAAAACAATAAAAAAACCCACTAGATCTTATTACTCCTACCTATTGACCTGAAGCTTTGTACACATAATTGTGCAACTTTTTTCAAACCTATGCCCCAAGATAAGATTGTAGTGACAGTTACTACAATCTGATAAAAATAAAAGTGTTCACAGGCAAGGGGAACTTAAGAACTCACAGGTACTTTTCCAACTACCCAGGTGGGGAGTCCTTCGTAACAGGTAAATAAGCAGAACTATGGACACTCTGCCATTCTCATATTCATTCTCATTCATTCTCTCTCTCTCTCTCTCCTCTCTCTCTCTCTCTCTCTCTCTCTCTCTCTCTCTCTCTTTCTCTCTCTCTTTCCCTGTGGTCACTGAGGAAGTGGAAAAATCAAAAGAAATTAGAAAGACCATGTATCTCCAGTAAGAGAAAGACAAGAAAAGGGGAATGTAAGAGGAAATATATGGAAAACAGACATACAGAAAATGAAAGTGACAACCTCTCTCTTCCTAACAAGGATGAGCTAGTTTTGAATGTGACACAGCATGGAGGTAAAATGTTTCCCTAACAATCAACCAGCAAAAGTATACAGTGCTCCATGGAGAGCAGGCATAGCGATAGTCTCTCAGTCAGAGAGAGGGACAAAGATGTCAAAGTGCCTCCATAAAGTTGATATTATTTTTGTCTGGTTTCATGTGTGACATTGTCTGGATGGACAATGTATAAATATGCCAAAGGAATTCAGAATATGGACAAGATCAATGCAGTCTAGGATTATTGTGGAAATCTTTCTGTAAAATAGGTAAATGGGTCCCACCTTGAGGACTGACTGACTGGTTGACTACCGAGTTTGAACTGATGAAGGGCTGAACCCTTCCAGGTGGGCAACAGGATGTTCATAACATCAGAATGTGTGTTTTTGATTATGTATGTATCCTTATACTATGCCTTGAATGCATATGTTTTTACATACAGAATTTTGTGATAAATATTTATCATGCTTATTATTCTCCTCAACTCATTTTCTTTACCTTTAACATGAATGGGTTTTTTTGTTTGTTTTTGGTGGTACAGGGGTTTGAATGCAGGCCCTCACACTTGCCGGGTAGGCACTCTACCACTCGAGCCACTATACCAGCTCTTTGCTGTGTTGGGTTTTTTTGAGATAGGGTCTCACAAGCTATTTGCCTGGGCTGGCATCAAACCACGATCCTCTTGATCTCTGCCTCCTAAATAGCTAGAACTACAGATGTAAGTCACTGGCATCTGGTGTTAATAGCTTTTAATCAGAGTTTATTCAAAACATATGAAATAACAACTGACACTATCCAAAGTCCAGGGTGATTGCTTTTTAATAACTGACATGAAAAGTAGAGTTTGCTTTCGTACTTCCTTCACATGATTGCCATGGTTTTGTATTTCACCTGCTGTTTAGGTCTCCATATCCATACTTGTTAAGCTTAGACAGTTTAGTCTTGGTGCTAAAGACTGAGCAGTTTTGGTAAACAAAGCAATAATGCCAAAAACCTGTAAGGAAAGGGGTGACCAGATACAGACAAGAATATTGTGTGTCTTTAGCACACAGAAATTACCTGTATGTTTGTGTATTTATACATGGATGTATATATGTATAGCTCTATGGATCAAGGACTCCTTTACCTAAAAAGCCCTTTACCCCTAAGTTACAATAATAAAAACGTCACTGTAATTATTATCACCATTTTAGAAATCTTAACTCTTAAAAGGAAAAATTGAGATACACAAGAAGGAACCAAACTGAAACTAAGATTCAAAAGGAAGATATTAAAGGGAGAAACTAAGATCCAAAGGGAAGATACAGCTGCCTTTTAAATGATCAGTAAGGGAGAACTGTATGTGCCATGTACTGGATTAGGTGGGTTAGCACTGTTTTTAAGTGAACACCACATTATATGTGACCCCAGTGAGCTGCTTTCTAAATGCTTAGTATCTCCCAGCACATATCCATTACATTTTTCTTAACCATTTCATAGTAATACATATTAAAGTCAATCTAATTTCCTAACCTATACTCACAGATATATGATCAAGTGAAATAAAATTTTTGTGGGATTGCTGGTAGACCTCAGGAAACCTCTGTGATATGCCCAAATTAGATTGCTTAGACTCAGATGCAATTAAAAACAAAACAAACAAGTGAAACAGAGACATACT